GTTCAGTTCTAGTCTAGTTCAGTTCTAGTTCAGTTCTAGTTCAGTTCTAGTTCAGTTCTAGTTCAGTTCTAGTTCAGTTCAGTTCTAGTTCAGTTCTAGTTCAGTTCTAGTTCAGTTCTAGTTCAGTTCTAGTTCAGTTCTAGTTCAGTTCTAGTTCAGTTCTAGTTCAGTTCTAGTTCAGTTCTAGTTCAGTTCTAGTTCTTTCTAGTTCAGTTCTAGTTCAGTTCTAGTTCAGTCCTAGTTCAGTCCTAGTTCAGTTCTAGTTCAGTCCTAGTTCAGTTCTAGTTCAGTTCTAGTTCAGTTCTAGTCAGTTCTAGTTCAGTTCTAGTTCTAGTTCAGTTCTAGTTCAGTTCTAGTTCAGTTCTAGTTCAGTTCTAGTTCAGTTCTAGTTCAGTTCTAGTTCAGTTCTAGTTCAGTTCTAGTTCAGTTCTAGTTCAGTTCTAGTTCAGTTCTAGTTCAGTTCTAGTTCAATTCTAGTTCAGTTCTAGTCAGTTCTAGCTCAGTTCTAGTCCAGTTCTACTCCATGGGTATCAATATTTAGGTTCTTTTCTAATTACTTGGGGACAATAAAATCTTACAATTTCTCTTTCGTTACTTATCGATACTAAAGTGAAGATTGATTAGCTCTCAGTATTATAAAGAGTGAAAAGGTAGATAAAAGTCTAACAATTCGAGTCAACAATTTTGCAACCTTTAAAAGAGATACGCATGATAAAACATCTGGGTAATTACGCGGTGGTTTAATATATTGTATTTAGTTCATGTCACAACTATGAATGTTTCACAAATTGATTAATTTTAAAAACATATTTCCAAATTGTTAAATTAATTAAAAACTATTAAACTATTTTTTTAGATTATCAATTAAACATTTATAGAATATGTTGAGGTCGACTTTGATTTCTTCTATATGCATATAACTTCCAAATTCTAATTTCAATCGTGTTATATGATATAGTTGGCTAGGAATGAAATTCTTCAACTCAGTCCAAGAGCGTGTTTTTCATTGCAAGCAAAGTTTTTGAAATTTTGTTTATATGACTAAAGAATTGTCGATTCAATGAAATGTTATAGAGATGTTCAATAACCTCAGTGTGGGACAAAATTCATCTGTTTACCAATGCAGTTTTTTTTATAATTATTACTTTTGAAAAAAATAAAAAATTTTCTAAATCAAAAACCATAACGAGCATTTAACACCAAATGTATTATAGATATTTAAAATCAATATATTTAAAAGTTTAAAATTATTGCGGCGAAAACAATGAAAGTTAAACAATTTATTGAGCAAGTATTACTAATATTATGCATTATCTCCTACAAAGGGTCTAAGGGTCAGGTAATTGGTTTGTAATTAATATTAATCCATTTCGACCAATAATTTCCCCTTTTTAGCGCCCGTTTGTCCTAGAATTTCATTCGTTGGACTACGAGTACAACAAAGAACGTGTCAAGCATTTCGATATGAAAATTCTACAACACCATGGAAATAGTGCTCTCAATGCTACGATTATATTTGCACGAGATATAAACGATTTTTATTTGGATCTTAAAATATTGGTGCCGAAAAATAAACGTCGACCTTTTGTTCTTTTGAATACCACTGTAAATGGTTGTGAATTCTTAAGTGGCATTAATAATAGATATTTAAAATTTGCCTATTTTGTTTATAATCAATTTAAACATTTTAAAGGTTTTCCCACCAAGTGTCCCGTGCAAAAGGTAGGTTTGTTGTTATTTAATGCAATTTTAATAAGTTTGACTTATAATTTTTTTAATTCCAGGATAAACCTATTCACATTCCTTACTTTTATTTTGATAGTGAAAATTCTCCTCCTTATTTGCCGGTATTTAATTGTCGTCTTTCTATAGTTTCCCGACAAAAGGATGATTTTCTTTATCGGGCGCATTTCAATTTAAGAGTGAAAGATAAAAGACCCGTTTAAGTGGAGAACTTTTAATATGAAGGTGATAGATAGTAAGTGGTGGCAGCTATTCGAAAGATATTTATCGGGGAAGGGATTTTTCTGTAGTAAAACTATGACTCAATATTTTATATTTTCCATAAATTTCATTGCAAATAATTTATAAAATAAAAAAATAAGTTTTTTTTGCGGTATAATACCCTCTTATTTGCCTTAGATAGCAAGGTTATATAACCCCTGTCTTAAATGGTCTTATATATATACGAACCTTGGACGAAGTGCACAATGATCTTTATCCCCAAGGGAGGAAATACCTCTCATATGAAGCCAAAGGAATTTGGACCAATCAGTCAATCTTTCTTTCTTCTCAAAATGTTGGAAAAGATAATTGTTTTAAATCTAACGATTAAGGATAAGGCTCTAATGATAAGGGCCTCTTATCGATGTCCCAACATGCCTATATGAAGGGAAAATCTATTGAGGCTGCACTGTTCTCGATAGTGCGTCACATAGAAAAGACTTTAGAATAATATACACCTGTGTTTATAATATCGGCTCAAAATGTTTGAGTATAGAACAGCCAGTTACAGCTTTCATCGCCTCAGAAAAAGGGGCAGCAAATGTCACAAATGTGGCAAATTGCGGTTCTTCACAAAGAGGAGTTTTATCTGCATTATAGAACTTTATAGCATTGAAACTACTCTTCATGGAACTAGGGTCTATGCGCTTAAGGGTATGTGGACGATGTGTCCGTTGAAAAGAAACTGCACTCAAATCGATTAACACATGGAGTACAACTGAACTAGAACTGAACTAGAACTGAACTAGAACTGAACTAGAACTGAACTAGAACTGAACTAGAACTGAACTAGAACTAACTAGAACTGAACTAGAACTGAACTAGAACTGAACTAGAACTGAACTAGAACTGAACTAGAACTGAACTAGAACTGAACTAGAACTGAACTAGAACTGAACTAGAACTGAACTAGAACTGAACTAGAACTGAACTAGAACTGAACTAGAACTGAACTAGAACTGAACTAGAACTGAACTAGAACTGAACTAGAACTGAACTAGAACTGAACTAGAACTGAACTAGAACTAGAACTGAACTGATCCGATAGTGCAAAATATCTGTGAGTCATCCTGGATTCGAAACTATCATGACATTTGAACTCTCAACCTAGAGTGTCCAAAACAGCTAAGGCACTACACTCATGTAGAAGAGCAATAGACATGTAGTTCAGTCTATGCTATTGTATGGTGGAAATCCTATATATTCACCGCAAAAGTTTTGATTGAATCCGCATCAGCGTTGTTGATAACTGGGAACCTTCGTACCACTTCATCTAATAACTCAATAAGTTGCCCTCAATGCAGCAATTTAGACTATCTTCTGACAGTAGCTTTTCAGTATCGTTTCAACACGATCTAAATGTGATGGAATCGATCCTCGTATTGAATCGTATAAGGTCTTCACCGATGGCTAAAAAACAATATGTGGTGGCTTCTACATATATAGGACATACCAGAATACCAGGCATCTATAAATGTGATGAGACACTCCACCATAGAAATTGGATTCTAGGTCATCAACAGATATCTGGAAATATCTTCGCGGACTCTCTTATCAAAGTGGGTTCTTCACTAGCAAGAGAACATGCAAACACTTTCGTCTATATAACGCTCTCAACCTGAAAACGCTCGATTTGTGATAAACTATATGAACTTTCGCAATGCAGATAGTCGATTAAGTCCACCAGTAGAAGATTATGTGGGCGTCATTTAATCCATAAAGACCTAAATCTTACTTCGCGTTCCAAGAGGAAATCTGCGGAACTTGACTGTAATTGTGGTTTAAAAAAAAACACTGCTCATTCAGGCTCCATGCTAGACTAAACATACCCAGTAATGACTTCTGCAGGAGCTGTCAGGACGAAGAAGAAGAAGAGAGTATCACTCACGTCCTCTGCCATTGCCCTGCCCTAGCTGATCATAGATTAAATCTTCTAGGAAGCAATAGTCAGACTTCACCAACCATATTATACCCTACATCAGTGAACGACAAGTGATTCTCCTAAGGAGGGGTTATTCGGAGACAAGGGTAAATATGGGCATATTCTCATAAATATTATTAGAGGGATTTACGTCTATATTAAAGTTAATTATGCAGAATTTTATTGTGATATCGATGTTTACTAGTGCATTATTGACCTTCAATTCATTTTCTGAAGGGGACTTTGTATGGTGGCTATAGGGTCAAATGAGCGCCGTTCATTATGAAACTCGCTAGTAACATTGGGATTTAAATAAAACTAAATCGAGTCTGCTTTTGTTGAGATATTAGAAGATTTTACATAATTATGAGCTCAAGAATTCTTTTCGGTTGTATGGGTGCTAGGTGAAATAATGGATCGATTTCAAAAATTTTCACTAGCATTCCTCCTTGGAACGTGCCAAATTTCATCAAAATATCTAGAAAATTGCGACTTGTAGCGTGCGCTCAAGTTTTGCATGTGAGAAATAGACAGACGGATGGACGGACAGACGGATGGAAGGACGGACAGACAGACAGACAGACAGACAGACAGACAGACAGACAGACAGACAGACAGACAGACAGACAGACAGACAGACGGATGGACGGACAGACGGACGGATGGATGGACAGATGGACGGACAGAGGGACATAGCTTAATTGACTCAGAAAGTGATTCTGTTTAGATAATAATTAAAAATATTCCATTCAATAAACAAATTTGCTCCATAATATCGTGTTAATTTTATGCCGCCCTAAAATATGCTTTAAATAAAACACTTATTTATTTAGATATAGTTTATGAATCATAAAATTTTGTTTATTTACTAAAAACTTTAAAATTTTTCGTTGCTTAATTTAACTTAAAAAACTAATATAATAATTATGGGTTTTTTTAATTAAAACTATTTCACTTTAAAACAGAAAAAGTACTTTTTTTCTATAGTAAATAATTTTATAAAGGTTAACAAAGGGGTGTTAAGACTAAAAAAAAAAAAGAAATTAAAATAAATCGTTTATATAGGTTCGTTTTAAATATATTATATTTTTAAAACTAAACAAAAAAATAAAATAAAAATTATAAACATTAATATTTAGTTAAAAAATGTTTATTAAAAGTTAGTAATACAGTAGTTGTATAAAAGTAGGTATAAATGTATGTTTTATAACTAGAAAAAAAATTATTGTTTTTAAAATAATTTTATGAAGTTTTCATATGTTTCATTAAAAAAAAAACGAACTAAGTACTCGTTAGTTATGTGTTTTAGAAAGCAAAAATTGTTTTTTTCAAGACAAAATTTTGTTCCTCGTTTGTTCTAAGTAAATGATTTTAACAAGATTTACATAAATCGTTCGTTATATATTCTTACATACGTTTTTTTTATATATAATTACCCACTTAATAATATATATCACATAAATAATAGTTAAATATTTTAAGTTAATAGTTTTTTGTTTGTATTTATATTTGGATTTAATTAATTTTCTGTTTAAGATTTTAAATTTATTTTTTATAATTTATAATGAGATAAAATTGTTTTGATAATATGCATAAAAAATATCGTATAACTTTGTATGGTTTGAAAAAGAAAGAAAAATTAATGATTTCTGAAAGAAAAACTTATTTTAGCTAAAAGTAATCGGTTGTTTTGGAACGAGTAACCATTTTGTTTTGATAAATAATTGCTTAAATTTGCAAATAAAAACGCTATAGTTTATCACTAAGTTTTAAAATTTGTCCTATAAAAGTATGATGTTTAAGTATTTTATATAAGTAACCGGTTACTTTTAGTAAATTTTACAATTTTGTTAAGAAACCATTCGAATTCTTAACTAGTTCCTTTACGCAATTTAAACTATTCGAATATTACTATAAATTTACAAGATTATTTCAGATTATTTTTCACAAAAGTAACCGTATCTATAAAAAGTAACCGTTTAAAACCTTAAGTTAACATCAAGTACTTTTCATGGTTATCAAATATACCATTCTAGCAATTAAGAATTAATTCAGTAACCGTTTTATGCCAATCATATATTCATAAGTAACCGGTTACTTTTGCTATATAACGAAAATATCTAAAAGATATGAAATGTATTCTTAAACAAATCTCTATTTAATAGAAAAAATTTCGGGTTTTAAGTAAAATAATCGAAATTTAAGTAGTTTAAGGGGTATTTTCTTTAAGTAACCGATTTTTTTTTGTACAAGTAAGCGTTTGCTTAGAGGGCTAAACTAACATAATCATAATGTTTAGCAATGTGAGAATAAAATTAAATTAATAATTACATATATAACTGCTTTATTTTCGTAATATATTTATAACCGGTAACCGGTAACCGGTTACTTTTACCAAATTATTAACATCTTCGAAAATTAATCGGTTATATTCTTAAGAAATCTTTTACTTCATACCAAATATTTCAGTTTTTTAGTAAAATAATGAAAATTTTATTTGTTTAGCCGGTTACTTTTTTCCTAAGTAACCGAATTTTTCACAAGTAATCGTTTGAGTAGTTGGCTAAACAGCCATAAAATTAAAATTTATTAAAAAAGGAATAAATTATAATTAATATTTAACTAAGAAACCGCTTTATTTATATAATATACCCATAAGTAACCGGTTACTTTTTTCAAATTATTAAAATTTTCAAAATTAATCGGTTATATTCTTAGGTAATCTTTTCCATTATGCTTAATATTTCACTGTTGTGGTAAAATAATGAAAATTAAATTGTTTTAACCGGTTACTTTTCCGAAGTAACCGATTTTAGCATAAGTAACCGTTTAAATAGTTGACTATACTACCGTACCGTTTAAATTTCTCAATAGAGATATAAAATATAATGAATATTTATTTAAGAAACAGCTTTATTTATGGAATATAACCAAAAGTAACCGATTACTTTTTCCAAATTAACGAATTTTTCATAATTAATCAGTTATATTATTAGGTAATCTTTCATGTTAAACTAAAGATTTTTGGTTTATAAAAAAAAGTAATAAAAATCATTCATCATTCACATAAGTAGATTATTTTTCTTTAAATAACCGAATTTTTCACAAGTAACCATTTTAAATTATTAGGCAATTATTACATTTTCTACACAAATATAAACATTTAGGAACTTAGAAATAAAAAATAATCCAATAATCCAGATTAACCCCCTTATATCTGTCATATATTCAAAAGTAACCGGTTACTATTTTGTTATTTGTTTTTCAAAAGTATTCAGTTATATTTCTTAAAACTCGTGTATTTTGTACTACATATTTCAATTTTGTTGTTAGATAATTGAAATTTAATTGGTTTCCTAGATAGTTTTCCAAAGTAATCGGGTTTTTTTTAACAAGTAACCGTTTGAATAATTGGCTGAACTACCATAAAGTGAATAGTTATTAACAAAATAATAAAATCTAATTCATAATTAATCAATTAACCGCTTTACTACTGTAATATATTTATAAGTAACCGGTTACTTTATTTTATTATCTTAGTTTTTCATAAATAATCAATAAAATTCTTAGCAAATATATGTTTTCATATTAAATATTTAATTTTTTTTAGTAAAATGTAGCAAATTTATATGGATATGCAGTTTATTTTTCTTAAAGTAACCGGTTTTTTTCAAGTAACCATTTAAATAGTTAACTAAACGTATATAACATTAAAATTTAGGCTTTTTTAGGAAAAAAATCAATTACATACTTAATAAGTAATCGTTTTTTGTTACGTAATACATTCACAAGTAACCGGTTACTTTTCCTATATAAAGAAATAGCTGGCTAACCGATATTTTTCTTTCATAAAGTTAATATTTATAACTTAAGGGGAAAAAATGGAATTTCATAATTTAAAGGTTAACCCTTTACTTTTAACGAGTAACCGTTTTTTTTTCAAAAGTAACCGTTTGTTTAACAATATGTCTAGGCCTTAGACTAATGGGTTATTAAAACATAGTATGAAGATTATGTAAGGACCTGGAAAATGTAAATGAGTTACATAGCTCATTCCTAATGAGTAACCGATTACTTTTAAAATTTTTCTTGGGAAATCATTTAGTTTTTCTCTTCTTTTCTTAATTTTTGATCTATTATTACTGAGGTTTAAAAATTTTCTTTTTAACAAAGATTTTAATGAAGCTGGTGGGTTTTTTGTGTTTCTTTTTTTTTATAAATTTATTTTAAAACTAATAAAAATAAGAATTTAACTAAAATTTAGGAAAATATTGAATACTTTTTTGTAATAATTTTTTTAAATTTAAATCATAATTGAAGTGTTTTTTTTTTTCTCAACTTCTATTTTTCAATTGAAATTTTCATATAATTTTGTTTTTTCTTGTAAGTATTTTGAGATCCTCAGCTAAGCAAAGTTGGGTCTAAATGTATGTGTGTGCGTGTGTTTGTTAGAAATAACGGCAGGTTCTAGATCTATACACTATACATTTTAGCTTACTTAGACTATTTTTTTTTTTTATAAAATATTTCGTTTAGCTGCTGCTGCTGTGGTGCCCCTCCCTAAAAGGGGCTTAAACATAATCATTAGTTTTCTTAATGTTAGAGGTCATACGATTAAAATTATCATCGAAATTGGATACAGGTCTATAGGATCTTTGCTTGGCCTTGAGGTGTATATTCCAGGCAGCCAAAATGACCACTATAACGGAAAGGCAGCCGATAATGGTGTAAAGTAGATTGTTGTGTTGACTATAGCGCATAAGTTCGACTACTTGGGGATAGACCTGGTAGGTGGCGGGTACTTCTTGGCGATTACAGGGTTCTGGGGTGGTGCTAGTGCTAGCGAGTTGTTCAGTTTTACAGGGTGTGTTAGTGCTAGTGGCAGCGGTAGTGGCTAAAGAATGTAAAAGTTCCACTGGTTTGGAGGTGGTTGTGGTCTCCGCCATAGTAGGCTTAACTGTAGTTGTGGTAGTAGTTGTTGTTGTGCTGGTAGTACTTGCTGCTGTAGTACTAGTAGTAGAGCTTTCCGAAGTAGTAGCTTTTGGCTGTTCATTAATGGGTTTTAACTCTATATCAGGTTCTTGTTCTTGTTCCTGATCTTCATTTTCATTATAGTCCTCATTGTTATCATAATGATGATCTAATTCAATTTCATTATCATTATGTTCTTCTAAATCACCATCTTCACCATATTCCTCTTCAGCAGTGGGCATAGCAAAACCATTGGGCCAACAAACCGGACAACATTTATCTTTCAATTGCACCTGACGATTTTTCGGGCAATTTAAGCCCTTACAAAAGGTAATCAAACAATTGGCCTCACCATTAACACACTCACAGTCGGAACAACCATCACGCCATCTTTGACCATGCTCATAGAATGAGTTCAAGTTCTTCGAATGACACATGGCCGGTTTCTTAATACCCTCATCACAGATTTGATGACACATTTTATGACCACCATAGCACCTGCAGCGCTGACAATTGCTCAACCAATAGTTTTCGGTATTTTGCACCTCGGTGCAATTGGGTTCTTTCTGACACTCGTATTTGCCACAGCAAAAACCTGGCATATCTATGGATTCCGGTAGAAGTTCTACCACTACTTCATCCTCATTGTGGCAATCGGGTATATGACAAAGATTACAAATACATTTTTTATTGAGACAGCATTGGGATAGGATTTCTTCTGTAATTTCCGTACTATTGTTGGAGTTATAAAGTAACTCCTGTTCATCATCAACCGCTATTAATGGTTCAGCTATAAGTTCACGAATACTGCTGTCAGCTGGACATGCTAACTCCGAGAGAGCCGGACATTTGACATTGTCACAAAGATGTGGTATGGGAGAGGAATCTGAAAACATATATTTGAAAAGAGAACTTTAGTTTGAAGTATTTAAAAGAACATACTATTCTAAAAATTACTTATTTAAACAAACATCACACTTAATTTTAAAAATCCACAAGAACGAGAGTTTTTGATAGTGTTCTGATTTTCAGAGTGGAGCCTTTAATGAAGTCTAGAACAGACGATATGTTACAACCGGAATGATAAAATCAATATACCTCCCTCATCTTCTCAAAGTGGAATCCAAATTATTATAATTCCGTTTGTAACATATCGAGGTATAAGGCCATTATAAAATTTTAACACGATCTAGCCATGTCCATACGGCCGTCTGTTTGTCTTTCTATCCGTTAAAAGCATGATATGGTTAGTACAAAAAGAGCAAGAGGTTTCACATTTTCCACAAATATTCCCTATGATCTCTTACAAGTGATTAAAAATTACAATATGATTTAAAGTGCCCATCGATCCATAACGAATTCTACTCTCCATATAAGGTCCCCCCTTTAATGTTCATTGCTGGCTAAAGAAATACAAGTACACTGTCGAAATTCGACGAACAAACAAGTTGTGTAGGGACGGAAATGGCTCTATGACATTTTATATCGATCGGTCCATAATTGGCCTTACCCTCCATACAATGTCCTTTCCGGAAAATGATCCCATTCAGATCCATTTCCCTTTAAATGCGAAAGATTATGTAAATTGGACAAAAGTTAGTTAGTTAGTTAGTTAGTTAGTTATTTAGTTAGTTAGTTAGTTAGTTAGTTAGTTAGTTAGTTAGTAGTTAGTTAGTTAGTTAGTTAGTTAGTAGTTAGTTAGTTAGTGTTAGTAGTTAGTTAGTTAGTAGTTAGTTAGTTAGTTAGTTAGTTAGTTAGTTAGTTAGTTAGTTAGTTAGTAGTTAGTTAGTTAGTTAGTTAGTTAGTTAGTTAGTTAGTTAGTTAGTTAGTTAGTTAGTTAGTTAGTTAGTTAGTAGTTAGTTAGTTAGTTAGTTAGTTAGTAGTTAGTTAGTTAGTTAGTTAGTTAGTTAGTTAGTTAGTTAGTTAGTAGTAGTAGTTAGTTAGTTAGTTAGTTAGTTAGTTAGTTAGTTAGTTAGTTAGTTAGTTAGTTAGTTAGTTAGTTAGTTAGTTAGTTAGTTAGTTAGTTAGTTAGTTAGTTAGTTAGTTAGTTAGTTAGTTAGTTAGTTAGTTAGTTAGTTAGTTAGTTAGTTAGTTAGTTAGTTAGTTAGTTAGTTAGTTAGTTAGTTAGTTAGTTAGTTAGTTAGTTAGTTAGTTAGTTAGTTAGTTAGTTAGTTAGTTAGTTAGTTAGTAGTTAGTTAGTTAGTTAGTTAGTTAGTTAGTTAGTTAGTTAGTTAGTTAGTTAGTTAGTTAGTTAGTTAGTTAGTAGTTAGTTAGTTAGTTAGTTAGTTAGTTAGTTAGTTAGTTAGTTAGTTAGTTAGTTAGTTAGTTAGTTAGTTAGTTAGTTAGTTAGTTAGTTAGTTAGTTAGTTAGTTAGTTAGTTAGTTAGTTAGTTAGTTAGTTAGTTAGTTAGTTAGTTAGTTAGTTAGTTAGTTAGTTAGTTAGTTAGTTAGTTAGTTAGTTAGTTAGTTAGTTAGTTAGTTAGTTAGTTAGTTAGTTAGTTAGTTAGTTAGTTAGTTAGTTAGTTAGTTAGTTAGTTAGTTAGTTAGTTAGTTAGTTAGTAGTTAGTTAGTTAGTTAGTTAGTTAGTTAGTTAGTTAGTTAGTTAGTTAGTTAGTTAGTTAGTTAGTTAGTTAGTTAGTTAGTTAGTTAGTTAGTTAGTTAGTTAGTTAGTAGTTAGTTAGTTAGTTAGTAGTTAGTTAGTAGTTAGTTAGTTAGTTAGTTAGTTAGTTAGTTAGTTAGTTAGTTAGTTAGTTAGTTAGTTAGTTAGTTAGTTAGTTAGTTAGTTAGTTAGTTAGTTAGTTAGTTAGTTAGTTAGTTAGTTAGTTAGTTAGTTAGTTAGTTAGTTAGTTAGTTAGTTAGTAGTTAGTTAGTTAGTTAGTTAGTTAGTTAGTTAGTTAGTTAGTTAGTTAGTTAGTTAGTTAGTTAGTTAGTTAGTTAGTTAGTTAGTTAGTTAGTTAGTTAGTTAGTTAGTTAGTTAGTTAGTTAGTTAGTAGTTAGTTAGTTAGTTAGTTAGTTAGTTAGTTAGTTAGTTAGTTAGTTAGTTAGTTAGTTAGTTAGTTAGTTAGTTAGTTAGTTAGTTAGTAGTTAGTTAGTTAGTTAGTTAGTTAGTTAGTTAGTAGTAGTTAGTTAGTTAGTTAGTTAGTTAGTTAGTTAGTTAGTTAGTTAGTTAGTTAGTTAGTTAGTTAGTTAGTTAGTTAGTAGTTAGTTAGTAGTTAGTTAGTTAGTTAGTTAGTTAGTAGTTAGTTAGTAGTTAGTTAGTAGTTAGTTAGTTAGTTAGTTAGTTAGTTAGTTAGTTAGTTAGTTAGTTAGTTAGTTAGTTAGTTAGTTAGTTAGTTAGTTAGTAGTTAGTTAGTTAGTTAGTTAGTTAGTTAGTTAGTTAGTTAGTTAGTTAGTAGTTAGTTAGTTAGTTAGTTAGTTAGTTAGTTAGTTAGTTAGTTAGTTAGTTAGTTAGTTAGTTAGTTAGTTAGTTAGTTAGTTAGTTAGTTAGTTAGTTAGTTAGTTAGTTAGTTAGTTAGTTAGTTAGTAGTTAGTTAGTTAGTTAGTTAGTTAGTTAGTTGTTAGTTAGTTAGTTAGTTAGTTAGTTAGTTAGTTAGTTAGTTAGTTAGTTAGTTAGTTAGTTAGTTAGTAGTTAGTTAGTTATTAGTTAGTTAGTTAGTTAGTTAGTTAGTTAGTTAGTTAGTTAGTTAGTTAGTTAGTAGTTAGTTAGTTAGTTAGTTAGTTAGTTAGTTAGTTAGTAGTAGTTAGTTAGTTAGTTAGTAGTTAGTTAGTTAGTTAGTTAGTAGTTAGTTAGTTAGTAGTTAGTTAGTTAGTTAGTTAGTTAGTTAGTTAGTTAGTTAGTTAGTTAGTTAGTTAGTAGTTAGTTAGTTAGTTAGTTAGTTAGTTAGTTAGTTAGTTAGTTAGTTAGTTAGTTAGTTAGTAGTTAGTAGTTAGTTAGTTAGTAGTTAGTTCGTAGTTAGTTAGTTAGTAGTTAGTTAGTAGTTAGTTAGTTAGTTAGTTAGTTAGTTAGTTAGTTAGTTAGTTAGTTAGTTAGTAGTTAGTTAGTTAGTTAGTAGTTAGTTAGTTAGTTAGTTAGTTAGTTAGTTAGTTAGTTAGTTAGTTAGTTAGTTAGTTAGTTAGTTAGTTAGTTAGTTAGTTAGTTAGTTAGTTAGTTAGTTAGTTAGTTAGTTAGTTAGTTAGTTAGTTAGTTAGTTAGTTAGTTAGTTAGTTAGTTAGTTAGTTAGTTAGTTAGTTAGTGATACAGATAGGTAGACAACTAGTTATACCCAATTGGTTCGGCGAAATGATTACGTAGTTGCCTTCAGTAAAACACTCTCATTATTTTGGTCATTAAATTCTTCGAAATCTTAAAAAGTCATAAAAACAAAATTACTTCTTCTCATTATAGTTTAACACTTCAATTCATTAACGACATTTTTAGAACTAAGTATTACATCACAACACATTTGTTCAGAGTCTTTTTAAATTTTGTCCCAAAACAATAAAAGAATAAAATCCACTTAAAAATTACTTAATAAGCCAAATCAGGAATAAATATACAAAAAATTCTTATGACTTGCTCTAAAATTAAGCAGGAAAGTAAAAAAATCTCAGCGTCATAAAAAATCTCTTACAAAAATTACCTCTTAAATATTTCCCCCAAAAAATATATAATTCTCCAACATTTATGCACCCACTTAAATGCATTCATTACATTATACAACCACTCAGTTTGTCATTTCATCATACATTCATTCATTACATTTTACACAATCAGTCAGACATTTAGTCAGTCGGTATCCCAATTCCCTAACGTATGTGGCACAATGACAATTTTATTTGGCTAATAGAATTTTCCTTACATCAACTTTTATGGAACTCAATGTAATGCACAGGCAGCTAGCATTTCTTTTTCCACCATATTTTTTTTTTGTACACTTAACGAAATGTATGCGTAATTATGTATTCTCTAATGTTGTTTTTAACTATTAGATGAGATTGTCTGTCTTTCCGTAGTTGGGTTTTTTTTATTGTATTCTTAAATTGTTTTATTTTTAGTGTTTTCTCTTAACACTTGAATGATTTCAATATACTTGGGATTTCATTGTACTGTTTTTTTTTTTCGTCTTCTAACTCAAGTACTTGTTCATAGATTGAAGTGTGTTTGGTAGAGTGTAGTGCAGTAAATGTGGACTGAAGTATCTCTTACTCTTTTGGGCTGTAGTTATGTTCAATAGCAGCATGATTTTAAAGTGCAATGGTTTCGTAGTCAAAAACTATACTAAGACAAGTGAGAGTAAGAAGGTCAGGGGTAAATAAAAGGGGCCTTTTCACACTATCTTAATCCATCAGATTATAGTACTAGAACAGAACTACAACTGAAGTAGAACTGAACTAGAACAGAACTAGAACAGAACTAGAACAGAACTAGAACAGAACTAGAACAGAACTAGAACGGAACTAGAACAGAACTAGACCAGAACTAGAACAGAACTAGAACAGAACTAGAACAGAACTAGAACAGAACTAGAACAGAACTAGAACAGAACTAGAACAGAACTAGAACAGAACTAGAACAGAACTAGAACAGAACTAGAACAGAACTAGAACAGAACTAGAACAGAACTAGAACAGAACTAGAACAGAACTAGAACAGAACTAGAACAGAACTAGAACAGAACTAGAAACAGAACTAGAACAGAACTAGAACAGAACTAGAACAGAACTAGAACAGAACTAGAACAGAACTAGAACAGACTAGAACAACTAGAACAGAACTAGAACAGAACTAGAACAGAACTAGAACAGAACTAGAACAGAACTAGAACAGAACTAGAACAGAACTAGAACAGAACTAGAACAGAACTAGAACAGAACTAGAACAGAACTAGAACAGAACTAGAACAGAACT